TCCTGTAAGCTGCTGGAGAGGCACAAGTTTGTTGTGTTGGAGATCCAGGAACATTATGATACATATATCAAGAAAAGAGATTCTACTGTTGAGGTACGTTACACTCCAAGTATTGGGATTGCTATTGTTCTCATTAATGTTTCATCAAAACTTTTTTGGTGCTTTTCAGGTGTAATTTGGACAGTTTTAGCACTATTCTGATGTAGCTGATGCGCTAAGATATCAAATTTGAATTACATGTGTTAAAGTGTTTGATTGTACTGTAAGTCTATAGATGTGTGTATTAAATACTATAAAAATTTTAGCTGAAATTAATTTTTTGCTGAAAGGGCTTTTTAGATGTTTTGTATGGAATTTATTTTCACTGATTTTTGATAAGTTGAATGTAAAATATAGGAAAAAAAGTATATTCACTGGATTTTATTTTCACTGAAGCATCCCTTCAGCAAAAATAGCGATAATAAATTCCTAAGCGGAAATAAAGTATTCTACAGTACACAAGTTATAAATACTGTCTTTGTATTTTTTGTAATTCTTCTGTGTCTAAATTGCATTTAAATTTTTACTCTTGAAAAGCTACACATGCTATCCAGAATTAGGATATTGTCAATAATTTGACATTAGTGTATTTTATGTTAATATTATTTTATTTTTCCTAAACAGTGTTTGGACAATATTAAATCATCTTTGAAAATGCAGACATTGGGTTCTCCTGTAAGTATATAACATGGGTTTTACATATACACTAATATATATTTCCTGAACTTAAAACTCTGTGTCAAACATGGGCAGTTTCTTCATCTATTTTAGCTGGTCACCAGCGTTATCTTGTGTAAATTCTCAAGTGCTGTATTATTTTTTTAATTGCATTAATGGGTGGTAATGAATCACTGGGTGCTGTGACTCTTTGCATGTAAGAATACATGCTTGTATTTTTTTTAAAAAGGTTGCCATTTTGAATGCATATTAAGCTGGTGCCGTGTTAAAATGCTGCTTGTCATTTTGCTATCTGAATACAGTAAATATAATGCCGCTTATGATCACTCTGCAGTTAAATATCATCATTCCATCTATTTGCCATCTTTCTGCTTTCCAGGCTGATTTGGTAGATAATCGTAACACCGAGGAGCAGGTACAGGCTGCTTATTAATATCTTTTTCATATTTTTTTTCTTGTTGTGTTCAAGCAATGTGCTGTTTATCTCTCTTTTCATCTTCTAACTGATTCTGATTGCTTGATACATGTGTGTGTGAGATGATGGGTTATAGATTACAGCTATGTCCCAATATTGTATATGTGTATTCCATGACAAAACATAACATCACAATTTGTCCTGATGTCAATAATTATAATCGTCTACTTTTTGCCATTTGCATTAATCTTTCAGACTTGAACTTGTGATTTAATTTTGACTCAAATGTAGTGGCAATTGACAGTTTGATAAAATATTTTTGGTGGTTCGTTTTTTTTTTCATAATTACATTCACTGGAGTACATAGACACTAACTACATCTGACCAAATGAATCATCCTTTAAAGGGGAACCGCTCAATCCCATGGATTGCACCAAAGAATCATGGGACACTATTGTTTATGTTGTTTACATAGTTAATCTATCTTTTGTTATTCATTGTTATTTTAATCCAGAAAGTAAATTTGTTGTGAGATTAGGCTCAACTGGAAGTGCCCCTTTAACTAGTCTAAGAGTGCTCAGTAGTATGAGTTCTAATTAGTTGCTGAACCTTTGAGACTTTAGCACGATTTCATTGGGTAACTGGTCAGATGTAGTTAGATGTACAGTGTAGACAAATAATTGTATATTTCAGTCTCCACCATATTGTTTCAGACAACAAACAGCAACCTGGCCAGCTAAATTGCTGACTGGTTTGCAAAGCTCGCTCAAGATCATTACATGGTTAGAACTAATTAGATCAAACTATTTTACTTTGATATTTGTTTGACCCAATTTGTTCCAATCACACAATGATCTTGAGAATCATATAGAAAACCAGTGAGCAACTTAGCTGGCAATGTTACTTTTCTTTGCATCTGAAACAATATGGTGAAATCTATAATCATGTGACATGTCACCAACATGAAAGAATACAGCAAATTATTTTACTTTGCTCAAACATGATGCCCGTATATTAATCTCTTTCAAACTGCAGTTTTCTCGATCCACAAAATGATCACTTCTGGTTTTTGTTTGAAATTCAAAAACATGGCTGTATCTGGGATTCAGGCGTCACCACAAAACCCAAAATGGTAGAAACATAGTGTGATCTCAATACATTGTATGGCAGTGTGATACCTTCACAATACATCATCTTTGATTTACTAATATATGCTATTCTTTCCACTCTTACTCTTTTCTACTAATGCTATCCTTCATCTCGTAGGATGAGATCTATTTTGTAAGTAGATGTTTATCATCTTTGTTTGGGTCATGTTGTTAATTTTTTTTCCTTCGCCTTTTCCCATCACTTTCCACCATTCACTGTTCTGGTATGGTAAAGTACAGTACAGTACAGTTCAACCATATCTTAACTTCTATGCTGGCTGTAAGCAAGGGTTTGCCATTTCATAAAAACGTAAAATTTTTGAATCATTGCCTTAAGTATTTATCTAAGATTTCTACCATGTGATATTCAGGTTGATTACTTTGCGCAAATTTAGATATAGATGGTTTTGAAAGTTTTCAGCCAGCTTTCAATTAATTTAAATCGGGGGAGTCGTCACCTGCGTGTGCGTCAGATGGCCTTAGCGTGTCATTGTTTACAAACAAGCGTCTACTCATGAGCCTTTGCATTTTAGCATTTGTTGTTATCATTGCTTGGGACTCAATTCGTGCACAGGTGACGATCCTCTCGCTTTAATGTTAAGTTATTGTTTTGAGTGTACAGTATTTGCTTTTGTGTGTTGCTGATAGCCTTTACTACAGTCTGAATACAATCTGATGTAGGTAGATGTTCCTGTCACTTTTAATTTTGTTCATCATTCTACATTGCCTGCAACTGATCAATGTAATTGGTTTATAAATGCTGTCAGAGGAGAGCTGCTTCAACATGACTTTTCATAGGTAGTTGGTCAGATGTACTTAAAAGTGGTGTACACTGGTGAACTGAGATTAGTAACTAGAACATCTACCTATATCTGCTTTCAATCAGATTGTATTCACTAGTATATATGCACACTCTGCCAAGCTTAAATGAGTTGCTTTTCACCGTTTAAATATTTCATTTCTTCTAAGAGGAAGACATTGTAGTTTTGATCAAATTCGATCCCCAAGTTTTTTTCATAACTTACGGTCTTCCATTTATGAACGCAATATGCTTAATTCCCATGATGCACTTTATTACGATACAAATCGTATCACTTGACCGGTTTCAGCCAATCAGAGCCACCTGTCAGGAATGTGTATTTATAAGGGAAGTTGGTGGTGAATCACAAATGTTGTGCAAACCAAATTGTAGCTGAAAAATCACAGATCAGATTAATAATAGGTTCAAACCAATTCATTTTAAATAGTTACCTAATTTTAATACATATAATCATTATTTAATTTAGTCTTTTATATTTCAAGAACCTCATTTTAGATTTCAATGATGAACCAAAACAAAATCCAAATAGTTACAAAGTAGGTGTATTTTAAGATACCGCTAACTAGTTGGCATGCATAAAATACTTAATTTTCTAGATTTTTCATTATCTCAAAAGAAACTAGCCATGTGATTGGTTCATTCATGTATTAAATATGTGTATAATAAGTGTATCAAATTATTTGCAGCAAAACAATTTTAAAATTAATTTGGTTATTTGCAACTCTTGTACAGCAGGCACCGAACTGATCAGGAATATTGCCTATTCTTTATCAATCTTTCTTACAACATTGTAAACATTTTGCTTATACTTCGAAACTTTTAATCCTAAGCTGGCATTCATGGACATTTTCAAATGTGATTTATGGACTTTGATTCAAATTGAAATTGTGAATCCTACAAGCATTCCACATTTGAGCACAAGTATACAATTTCATTTCATATACAAGCATCCCTGTCAAATATAATAATACTTTTGATAAATAAATGAGTGTTCTACTTTTATAACGTTAAAAACACCACTGACAGTGTTCCTTGGAATATTTTATGTTGCAAGGGATATATAATTGGATATAGCAATTTTCGGATCAATTTCTGTTAAATTGAAATTGAAATCACCTATTTCTATGAATTTGATGTGAGATTAACACAGAAGAGTCAACAATATTTTAAAAAGTTTTTTTTCATGGCATTTTTAAATTGGTGTTAGCTATTACCTTGCTGGACTAATTAATTAGTCAATACATGTGTGTCCATAATAAGTGCTTCAAAAATTAAAACACTGGCACACACACTGTCACAGGTAGTCTTTTTTGGAGTTTAGCTGTCACAAATTGTGTTCTGTATACTACAAAATAAAAAAAAGTTTTTAAACCCAAATGCATTGGTAGCCATACTACCACCATGGTTCACATTTTGTTTGCTGTACAATCTGTCAATCCATCAGCACATAAAATATATTTACATATGTGTTACTTCATTCAAGCTCATTAATTTATTTGACTTAATTCGAGAAAAATTACAAGTAGAAGTCAGGATCCATAGCGTTGGGAAAATCCTTTGAAAGGATTTTTTGAGATCTGGAAAGTCTTTGAGTTGTCTTTAAATTACAAGAAAAAAGTCTTTAAATTTCTTCATTTTAGAAAGGCTGATTTGCTGCAGGGAACTACCATATCCTCAGAACGTTGATGAACTTTGGGGATGATGTTGGCCTGAATTAAGGTCAAAATGAAAGAAAGTTTGGAAAATATCTTGGAAATCATTTGGCTCTTGGTGTTATGCACCCTGAAAGTGAACTATGATACAGTCCTCTTTATCACAACTGTTTTGATTTTGTTTCAGTATATAGAATACAATTCAATAAAAGAGAGATTTGTCCCTAAAATGACTACATGTGACATGTGTGACATACCAAGATCCTATAAATGTACTTTTTCTTAATATTATCAACATGCACTATGGCCTTGGTGTTGTCATTTTCAATATAACATCTGTGTGTGTGTGTGTGAAATGGAATTTAGTTGTAAAATGGTTTTATTGGTCTGTCAATAATATTCTTATAACAAATTATTGTAATTCTCTTCCTATCAATTCGACATGACTATATCATTACCCAATTGGCAGGGCTTGCATAGTGTTTCTATGTTTTCTCTGCCAAGCACAATAGAAGCATGATAGCATTGTCCAACCAGTCCCCACTCACGTCTTGTATTCAGTGGATGTTTGTTCTCACTTACTTCCCTTTCTTTCAGCAAACTGAGTTGTGCAAATGTCTCTACAGTCTGCATTTCCAGCTGCTAATGTTATTTGAAAGTTATTCCAAGTTAATCAATTTATTGAACACTGCCAGCAAAAATCAACAGGTAAGGTGGCTATTGATGTTAGAATCTATGCATCAGATGCACTTCTAATAGAGCAATTACTGTACAGATGTAGGTACCGGTAATAGGTGATACATGTACATGTATGTATGGTGTATGTATGGGAGGATTTGTTTATTGTGTCAACAAATATGTATGTTAAAATTCAGTGTTATTTCTTTCAAATAAAATTACTAAGCTTTAGTACCTTGTTATCAATTATTTATGAAGACGTCTGATTTGGACTATTAAATGGGAAAACAAATGCCGACAGAGTAGCGACAGACGTATTTATAACTGTTGTTGCTTTGTTAAGGCTATGAAATTCTTTTGAAATTGCAACTAATGTCTGAAAATCATAGCAAAGTATTATCAATCTCCTGTTTTTATCTCTTTCACACTTTGCATGAGTCCTAGGGCTGATATACATATACACGTTATAATTAAAACGGTGCTTAACCCCATGAATGTCATAATTTTGTACCAAATGACAGACAGAAATCATTGTAGACTGCGGATTTTTGAAAACAATCTGGAAATAAATTGGTTTAGTTTGTGAAAGATGACATACGTTGACTGTATTCCATGTTGTTTTGGGGATTATTTTATTTCGTGTGTTAGAATACATACTTTTATAAGTGTTACATATTGCCTGATGTATTTATTTGTAAAAAGTAGGGCGTAGGATGTAGCTCAAAATTACGAAATAAACAAGCTCTCTGGTTTCTTTGATAGTTTGATAGTGTGTTTCTGAATCAACACAAAGGTTTGAAGAGAAAAGTTTGATAAAAACAAATAAAGAGATTTCCACGTTCACATGGCATGAGTTTATAACATTTATATTCGTGTGCCAATGGACAATTTGTCATTACTGACAGTACAGGTACTGTCCTAGCGAGCTGGATATTTACACTGGAACATGATCAATCCTAAAAAATCTTTTACTAAATCATTTCATTTCTTATTTTAGATAACTGACTATTCTAAGGAGGTTACGATGGCAAGGCAAGATTTGAAGCACGCTATAACTGAAATAGACAGCGGTAAAATACAGTCACATGTCAGTGAAAATGAGACTCCACAAACGATTGAGAAAGCTAGAGTTGCATTGTTGGATTGTCTCACCAGTAAACAGTATGCAAGTGCAGTCAAGTATATTAGACATTTCAGGTAATAATAATTGCTCTCTTGGTCTCATCCATGATTGGATCACTGTCACTGCCATTTTTATCACTTCTACATATTTGTTTGTCAGATTTCTATAAACATTGTTTCACATCAAACATGCTAGAGAATACAGGGACATGCAACTATGGTAAACAGTTTTGTTTTTGGGGAGGGGATAGAAATTATCTATTGGAAAACACTATCATGTTGTACTCTTTCTTGAAATGTCCTTCAGCAGTCTTGATACAATAAGTTTCATGCTGTGAACCTTTTGAATTTTGTGTGAGACAAATTTGTGAGTTGGTGAAAATCATGAAATTTTGTAGCAGGGAAAATTTGTATTGGTGCCAAGACATGGAGTGTCAGCTTCTCACATGGAATTTGTTGTCATGCTTGCAGTAAAATTAACAAATCGGGAAAAATTCCTAGCAATGTGAAATAAAGTGGTTTATAGTAAACAAATACTTCCTCTTCCATTCTTAACAACAGAGTTGTGTGGCCACAGAATATATTTGGCACATGTGACGAAGAAGACTTGGATGTTTTATTAGACATAAGCTGTCACAATCTGGCTGCTTCTAAAACTGGTAAGAACTTGTTTTCCACACCATTGAATAATTAAATCTTGCAAATTTCATTTAAAATAAGTCTTTAGCCTTTTATTCATCATCTGTTACTAAAAACAATAGAATCATGATGTTTGATGTAATTTGTCAAATCTCTTCTTCCTTACATATTCTGATTATGTTTTCTCATTCCTAGGTGTACTAGTAATCACAAGACCTGAACATGATTTGACAGATGTGTGCAGTCGATTGATGGATGTCAACATTCAACTCAGAGCCTCTCTTAAAATGCTTGAGAATATGGCACCAGAAAGTAAAGAATCTGAAAGTACAAGTAACAGCGCATAAATACCTACCCAGCTTAGAATGGAATCTTCGAAGCAATAGAATAAATGATTGATCTTTGCCGCATTGAATGATTAAAAATAAAAAAGAAGAAAGCATTTTGATCTTATCCCATCAACATTGTCACTGTTTAAAACATTTCACACAGCAATGACCAACAATCTCCAAATTCATGTCCACATATTAAATTATTCTTGATTGCGCTGATCTGAAAATGTCACACCATAGGAAAATCACAATATATTTGTTTTAGGGGCAATCACCAAGATTCTCAATCTGATTAAAAGCTGATATACCCCGGTAGGTAGAAGCCAAAGTTGCCTTTAATCTATACAACTATCAAGGTACATGCCTCAAACTACTATTGACCAACTATAATCACATTCAACAGTTCTCAACCAATCAGCAGATTTGTAATTACAGTGTGGCTTGCATTCTGGAAAGTGGCATCTAACATGAGTTTTGATTGATTGATAATCCTGTCAGACTTGGTCAGATGTAGTTTAGAGGTGCAGGGCTTAGCTTCACAGAGGCATTGATGCCTAATAATTTGCCATCTTCGTTTGAAAATGGACGTCCTTTTAACTTTAAAGCCCAAGTAGTGTGTATGCACACCTGAGAACATCTGTTTTTTAATGAGATTGTGGAGCCCTATACTTTATATCAGTTAAAAAAAGACTTAGTCTTATTTATTATGTTATATGGACCATTCCAACACACCTTTTTTCTGATATTTGAGTAATCCATCCTGTATAATCTGCCAAAGAATATTCACACCAAAGACATACATTTAACTTTTTCTACCAAAGATATTACTACATTAAAGTAGTGTTTGAGATAATTCTATTTTCTCTTCCAAGTAACGCTACAGTAGCTATGTCAATTTTGCATTTAAATATACTTCAACTTTCCACAGTTGTTAACAATATTACCTGACAAGCTTAAATCAAACCATGTATCAATGTATGGCGACAGACATACATACGTTAAATTATCGTTGTGTCCAGTTATATTTTATTCCCATCTCAGGTTTTTTATAGAGATTTTCTCCTTAAGAAAGGTTTGAGCTGAATTGCAGATTATATGTCATGTATGTGATATTTTCATTATTACGAGTTCATACCCTCAGAATACTGAAAATGATCAAAACAATTTTGGTCACCAGTCGATTTTTTTTAGATAAAGAGTCTCAAATATTATGGAAATTGGTAATTTTGACACTGTCTTTTTTGGTGAGATTAGTTATTCAAATCTTGAAATTTTGCTCAGTGACACCGAATAAAAGCAGAATTATAATATTATTATTGATATGGAATCTAATATTGGTAAAGTATTTAAAAAAAATAACGTATAATTTGGTGAGTTACCAGGGTTATACTACTGGTAGTTTTCTATACAATGAGAGGTTATCTCCCATAATGCATTGCATAATGCATGAATTTGATTTCAGTTCAAACTGCCTTAAGTGTCATCACAGTTACTGTGTTGATATCGGTGCAATACATTTTTGGCATGAAATTTCAGAGAACACTGCAGGGGCAGATGTGGTACTCATAAGCTACTAAACTTTGTGTTTCACCGTATACTGATCAACATTGACTCTTGGGGAAATAAAAAATAACTGCGGCTACTGTCCTTCAGATATGTTAATTGCACATGAATCATCGATGTGTAATAAGCATAATTGTAATACAACTGAAGAATTTGATGTATTACTGAAGAATGTGCGAGTCTGCGTCCGAATGCAGATGATTAGACGAGCAAAAGCTAGCTTGTAGAAACAAACATCCATATTTGGGCATTTCAAATAGTTATTACACGCCTTTCAATCGATATATGCAAGATGTTAATAATAAGATCACTAAAAAAAATCAGCTTAAAGAACCCAGGCCTTGTTTTGTGTTCCTTACATGAGCAAGGTAATTTTTTGAGGCAAGTTGTGTGCATGGTGATAGAGAAATTAAGTAAGAATTTAAATATAGTATAATTAAAATTTATTTAAATTTAAAATTAGTGTGGAGTATCCTAAAGTTTTATGACTGGGATGAACCTTTCATCCCTATACTTTCTAAATAGAATATTCTTGCTTATACTATTAGTGTACAAGTTTGGAATAAACCATTATATATATATATATATATATAGGGTGGACAGGTGACATGAGAACTTTAGGGTGCAATTGTTCTTGATTGCAGGTGATCATTAAGTTTAATAAATACCTTGAGTTGCATGTAGTTCTCGTTGTCTGATGAGCACCCTCTATTAGGCAAGAGCTATAATCTTTTTTTTAAATGAGGATTGCCGACTTTCATGTATTGAATACAATTAATTCTGATTGACCTAATAGCAATCTTTGTCAGTAGATTTGTTCTTTTAGTTTCCTTTGACACTAATATATATTTAACATACTAAAGTATTATATTAGCAGTTTTTTATAGATTATAAAAAGACATGTTTTGACAGAGAATTTTGTCACTTCAAATCTTGGTAGTGTCTTTACAAAAAAAACAAAAAAAAAACAGTTTGCGCATAATTTCATGTAGGAATGTACTGTTTTATTTTTATTTAAAAAAAATAACATGTCTGTGTTGGATTTGCTTCTTAAGCAATCAAATGACAGTAGATTTTTAAAACAGCTGTATTTGTATCACTTTCTCAGTTGAGTATTTGCTGTATTTCTACTTGATATATCCTGCTTTTTTTTTCTACCTGTTAGGTTATGTGTATGTTGTCAAGCATCCTGTACATTTATATAGAGCTTAAAGCACCACTGTTGTTCATTGCAGTAATTGCTTCATGGTCAGCACTATGCAGTTTTCATTGTCAGATCTATATGATGTATACAACATTTGTAAAATACATATTATTTCATGAAATTTGAATCAATACTGCATGACGACCATGGTCTTTAAATGTCTGACTTGTATGCCAACACAGTGACATCACAGGGCCAAGCCCCATGTGTGTTTTCTGTGGCTGTGTGTTGAATTTCATCCTTATAAGCGAGTGACATCTGCCTTTCTTTTATGGACTATCAGAACGCCACACGTAAGTGATGGTGATGAAATAGTCCTAGCATAAATTGAGGCAAGTGTATGCTATGTTCTCTTAAACTGTACAGGCATGCTGTGTATGTTATAATATTGCCCCTCTTGGCTGTAACGCCCATACAGAGTGCATGCTGAGATCATTCCATGACATGTTTGCTAATGATGGCTGCTGGGGAGTTCCTTATGAATATTAAGTAGATCTCCCTCCCCGTCTGCCTGAAAGCTATTCAACATGTTTTGAAAATCTTCAGCTGTTTGTGTTGTACAATGTGTTGCCTTGATGTTTTTTATTTAATAGTGTTTTTATCTTTTGCTAAAATGCTATTCTTTCTTATTAAGTGAAAAGTTTTCTTTTTTTTAAACAACTTTTTGTTTTTGTTTTGCTGTCAGCTAATTTAATGCCTTATGTGATTTGTGTACATTTTGTTTATTTTCCAGTCGACCCCATAAATCCTGCGGGAGCAATTCCACTCTGCATAGTGTGGGGGTGAACGGGTGCAATCATAGTTTTCTCCAGTCTATACTTTTACATGCTTAGTAAGGGAGTAACATCTTTTAGTCATATGCAGTTTGCCAGACGAGTGTGATAAGTTTCTGGATCACACCATTATCATATATTGAAATGCCATAACAACAGGACCGCAATATCACATCTAATTAAAAGAATGGACTTTGTGTTATGGTCAAGAATGACATATAAAATAATGGCGTAGACAGAATCACTTCTAAAATTGGCAATTTGCAAGTGGCACTTTCTCAAACATGTATAGTATTTATAGTTTACAGATGATATTCATTGTGTATCTTTTACTCAGGAGTTTGTTAATATTTTTAGAGTGATCTATAAGAGATAATCAAAATTACCATAATATTTACTGCATATTATAATTTATCAGACACTTGTCTAAAAATCATGATATAAAAAAAATATATATACTTAATGACTGCTATCACTGAGTGATATGTGTGAAGAGTATGCTATACACTAATTATACTTGTGTTTAATATTGAAGTCTACTTTAGGCTGCTTCTCCATTTGGGTCTCTGCTCCATTGCAGTTTGCTGTGTTGTGTCTTGTTTGCAAAATTTAATTTGCCAAAGAAAAAATGTATATAAGTTTAAAAAAAAAACTTGAGACAGAGTGGATGAGCTTTGCTTCAGTAGCAGACAATAAAGATAACTGCTGGTAGGTAAGCTGAAGTTTGACAGGTTTCTAAGAGTGAGCAATTAACAGTGACCTGATATTGTAATGATTTTCCCATATATACTATAGTACTCAACAGGTTGTATATTTTCATTAAAAAATTGTGTAAGTTATATTTCTGTTTTAATTTTCTGGTGTATTAAAAAATATTGCAGTGTTGGAAAGTTCATTACATTTTGCAATTGCCATGTTTTTCTTTTTTTGTGTCAACAGCACTGTAAGTGAGCCTAATTCTAGCCGATTGCTGAGATGTTGTAATAAGCCTATATGCAGAGATTATACTTACTGTATAACAGATTAAAGATTATATATAATCAGGAAATCATTTGATTGTCTTTGTGTCTTCTGAGTATGTATGCATGTATGTATGTGTGTGTGTGTGTGGGTGTGTGTGTGTGTGTGGTGTATGTACAAAGTAGATTGTTGAAAAAACAGTGAACTTGAGTGAATCAACCCATTCAGTAGCCCAGATACTCGGTTGTGTTACTTTGCATAGCTGCCCGTAGTCACCGCCCAGTGAAACGAGCTGGATCCATCACAGAAATCTGTGCGAGTATGTAAATGGAGGTGGTATGAAGCTAATTGGACAACTGACTGTGACAAAAACAACAACTGACAACAAAGCATTCCCATGTGACCCTGGTTTCAATTTCAAAATAGACAGAAAAGGAAGTAGGGAGGAGTGTGAACGTAAATATAATTTACATACACTCATCAGACTTATGAATAGTAATGAGTGAGTGAGTGCGGTTAAAAATAATAACCAACGACAGGCCCAGGTTCAACAACAATAGCCAGGCACAGGTCAAAATTTGATGGATCGCCATGTCTTATCTTTTATTGAGTGACTGCGACTGCTGCCACGACCACATTCTGCTAATTTGAATAATCCAATTTGAATTTTCAGGCGCTTTTCACTGGGCGTTGGTTAGAATAGAAACCAACGGCCAGACTCTTGGCTACCCATTTAGTGACTAAGTTGAAACACCGGGTCTCCCAGTGAATGTAAAATTGTCGAAGAAGGATGAGAATTTATACACTCAGATTAAAATTATCTGTATTCTTGTTGGTTGATTGGATTTTAGTGTTTTTTCTTGTAATTCTCGTTTTTTACTTGGCAAGTCACTACATGTTTATCCATGCCTTGCATTTTGACATCCCAATCTCATAGTATGTTATAAATCTGCAATTTTTGTTTTGCTTACTATTATATCTCTAACATCTGAATATAAGAAGGTTCATTGTGACTAGACCATAGTTTTCATGGAATGACAATTTCAAAAGGATGTTTTTTTCCCAATGTGAAAATCTGTGAAAATCTGTCCATACACATGTCAAATCATAGGCGTTAATCTTGTAATAATATTATAGGTAATGATAATCTCCCAAATCCCATGAGAATACTATACTGGGTTTAAATCCCAACTCATGGAGAGAGTGTTTGCACAGTCTGATACACATTTGCAAAACTACCAATAAAATCTTAACAGAAAACAAGATGTAAGATAATTGATA